TCTCTCGTCTGTGATAATGAGAATTATAATTTGAAGATAAAAATGAAGTTTTTTATATTTGTTGCATGATGAGAATAAAGCAATTATTTTCATGGAAAATTGCCATCTTGCAATAAATCTTTTGCTAAAAATGAATTAATCTATAAAATCTTCTATCCAATGTCCTCTGTGAACAGGCTCAATCCAATTGACTGAGATGTGATGATGTGAATTGCAGGATGAGAATTCTGTGTGAGCTCCTCCTCCCTGGTAACTGTCAGGTGAATAATCAGTTTTTCAGCCAATAAGGCAGGTGATCAGGATTTCTGATATCAACAGAGAGAACACGTCTCGAGCCTCTCTGTGCCCTTTGTAAGACTTCATACACAGGTTTCTGGCCAATTAATTAATCTGCCTGGAAAGGGAAAGCATTGCATGATATTGCAGTATCATTTTTCAGATGTGTTAGTCAAAGCAAATTTTAGAGATAAACTCACTACTAAATTCAGAAGTAATCTGTGCATGTGCCAAGAGCTGAAGACAGGGCATGGCAGCCCCATCAGAAGAAACAGGCAGTATATTGGCAGAAAGATCTGCAGTGCTGATAGCACAGCAGGTGCCCTAGCAGTTACAGACAGTATTTTTTGTTATAGGTGAAAGAGCAGTTTCTACTTCTTTCTGTGTTCATCTTTGATGTTGTCAGTGTTAAGGAATTTCTTACATCTCCATCGCTTTAGAACTTTGCTAATAACTTTTTATGAGTATGTTATACTAATATACCTTACTAATATACCTTACTAATATACCTCTTTTTAATGTAACTTAAAAAAGGTATCTGTAATCTAAGCTGTTTTCCCTGACAGTAACAAAACTCAGCTTACTTCAAAACTTTGTTGTTTAAAAAGAAAAATGAAAGGTGAAGTCAAGAAAACAAATTGTATTTTTGAGTGACTGACTCGGCAAGAGAGTTCACCCATGAGAGTTGTTGAGTCTTTTGACTTATTTCAACTTCATGAATGCCTGCAAAATACCTCACCTGCCATGCAAGGACTTCCAGCCTGGGGACACCCAGCATAGTGAAACTGTGGAACAGTTTTTCACAAATGATACAAAGCAAGAGTCCATGTAATGTAAGCACATTTTTTAATGGTATCTAGAAAGTCTGTGAGGTCATCTGGATGATCCGATATAGCTGGTAGATATGGGTGTTGTTCTAAAGGGGGCCTAAGGTTTAGTCTGTTGACTTTCCTCTTCACAAAAGTCACTTAAAATTATCAAGATGAAAACCAGAGTGGAGGTGAGTAAATCAGGAGTTCATAGTAGACCCTGCTCCTCTGCAGCACCTCCTGCTCAAGGCTCAGAAAAACCTGCATTGTCAGGAAAGCTTATAATGGATTATAACTAGACCTTTTCTTGTCTAATAGCTGGAAACTGGAAATATCTACTTCACAGTAGGTAACCAGTCTGTAAAAAGCCAATAAAAAGGAGATTGCCTCCTGAGTTTGTTTGGCACACATGGGAGGGAGGGATGGGGAATCTTTCCCTCCTGCAGATGTGTTACACAATGCTGAACAGGGACCAGTGCTGTGAGGGGGTGTTCACCTTTTCAGGGCTAACTGAAGGTTATCTTTTTCATTCTTTTGCTCTTAATTTAATTTTTTTATTCTTAGTTGTGTCCTTGTAATACTTGCGGTACTTGATTGTATACTGCAGCAGCAGGGCCTTTTTCCTTAACAATGTTATCTCCTGAATTCTCTCACAGTCATGGGAAGTAGAAAACACAAATTTAACTTCTAAAGGCATAAAGAATAAAGAATACCATGAGCCCTGAGGTTTGTGGAATTCTTAATGGTAATATTACCATTATCCTACATGCTACAAAAGCCTATAAACTATGCCAACTTCAGGTGTGACTGCATCTTTTATGCAGTTTCTGTTTTCAAGAATCTTTGGCCTAGGAATGACAGGAGTGCTTAGAGCCAAAAAGGCAGCATTTTTAGCAGAAAGAATAGAGAATTGCTAATAGAAAGGAGCCCTGTTTAGATCATCTGTGTTTCCTTTACCTGTGGATTCTTAATACCTCCTGGAAATAACGTAGATGAATAAAATACCTGTCTATAAAGTACCCCTTTCTGTGCTGTTTTTACAAAAAATGGACACTGTCTTTGAGATACAGTCCTTTTAATGCTGCTGAAATTATTTTTTCTTCTGCATTCCTATTACGATACCTGTCTGACCAAAAGATGTCAGGCTCAGCAGGACAGTGAATCAAATTTTGAAAGCTGATAGATCTGGCAATCTCATTTAGTAACATTCACTGCTTTTAACTTAAGCCACTCTTTTTTCCTGAGAGTTTTCCTGACTTCTGGTTTTGGCTACCCAAGTCACACTGCAGACTTGTGTTTAATGTGCAGAATATTACCTCCAGTAAGGTCACAAACTTAAGTGTCAGTAATCAGGGCAAGGTCATTTGTACATTCCTTACAGAGATGTTCTATATGATGATCCAAGAGCAATGAGGAAACTCTTCTGGGATTTGTCTGGTCACAAAACAGTCTGAATATGGACCCTCTACACTGATGTGCTTCTTTTCATGTTCAGGTTGAATGTTTTCCACATTATCTGGGATCTGCTGTGGATTATCTACATTTGTTTAAATATGCAGCCTTGTGACAGCTGTAGGAGAGTTCATGGCAAAGACACATCTCTCTGTTGAATTCCTATTCATTTGTTAAGTCAAAGTTTGTTCTCCACACACTCAAGTTTAGATAACTTAGAAACCATTTTATATCTGTATAACTCCTTGATAGCTGCAATCAGTGGGGTCATTTTAGTGACTTTTGTTTTCCAGGGTCTAGTTCTCTGGTTTTCTGAAAGAACTGTGATTGGGAGATGGGATGTTAGCTCTGCTGAAAGGCTGCAAAATGTCAGGGGGGAAAGTAAAACTACTTTAGGGTGTAGTGTAAATCAAAATTGGGATTAGCACTTGAATCTTTTTACAAGGAAGTTTCTTTATATTCGGTCCTTGTGCGCTACAGTCAAAAGGATCGACAAATGTATATTTAATATGAGTGTGCAATATTTCTGCATAGGACACAAAAGGGACTGCTCAGTGCACGTGAAATGTGTGTGCAATGTGATTCCTGAAGCAGTGCTATAGTACTGTAGCAGCTACATAATGACTTGTTTGCAGAGAGGTTATCTGGTTTCCTGCTTACTTAAACAGTCATCAAAGATAAACAAACAAACCATTTAAAGTGTCTTTTGTAAAGGCCCTTTTGTTTTCAATTACTTTTGTGCACAGGAAAGATGATGGACTGACTGCTCTTAGACACTAAATACTTTAATCACTGAACTTCTGTTCATAAACCTTTCAATGAGCCTATATTCTACCCTTCAATTAATGCATTGAAGAATGTAATGTAGTAACTTCTTTATTTTTTATTCATTTTATCTCTTTATTTTGGTAATCTTAACTTGCCTTAACAAGTACTGACAAAAATCTTCTCTAAAGTAGAATCTGCCAGCAATATTATAAACTTTACTGGTGATGGCTGTATAGCATATTTTCCCTCACAATTTAGAGCTACATTTTGTATTTCGGCTCTTTCTCTGAGATGTTTCTTTCATTAGGTGCACAGGTTTTACCTGGTTTTAAATTTTGCAATATAATTTTCAGTGCATTACAGATGTTTTTAGTATAAGGCAATAAAACCAAGACAAGATTGAAAGAGAGCTAAGGTATTCCAGCGTCCTAGGTAGTTTTCTAGAGCTGTTCACAGGAGTGTTTGAGTGCTGATAAGGCACTAACTATATTAAAAAGACATGGGCAGAGCATAAGTATTGTTTTTCCTTTTCAGTCACTAAAGGATGATTCCTCCACACATTAGCCAAAAATGCAAAACCAAGGAACATTCTGTACATATTAAAGTTTACAAGATGTACATCTTAAGAGAGTTATTTTTTTCTTTAAAGATAAATTAAATACATCTGGTATTTTAACTCCTCTTTATTGTTTCTAAACTCATTAGAGACTGATTGCTTAGAAATCACAGCTGTTTGATGAGGTCAATAGGAGCTGGAAAACCTATACAGGCCAATTTAACGCCTCATAATTGGTAATGCAATTTGGAATGTAAACTCCTTAACATTTCGACAGATAAAATGTTAGTAGAGAAAGAAATACACTGAATAGATATAGTTGTGAGCCATGTCCTTTACCTTGGTGATCCTTTTTCCTGCTTGACCTTTATTATGTGTCTTATTTGTTTTAATGGGTCCTGTGACCTTGGAGGGGATTGAGGTGTTCCTCCTCACCCAACCTCACAAAAAAAAGGTGCTACTTGAAATAAACTGTGCTATTTAAACTATATGCCAAAAATATTTTTCTTTTTGCCAAATGAGGTCATCACCTCTATGGTACATCTGGCCTCTTATCTTCCTGGCTCTTTTACTTCTAACCTCGAATTGCTGTCCCAGTGCCAAAAGAGTAGAGCCACTAGAAAATGGTATTTTCATTGTCATCAAGCGGAAATAAATTTGTATCCTGCTATGAGTTGAGAAAGACTCTATGATCAAGCATATATTGTGTGTTATTAAAAGTTATTCTTAAAATGGGAAAGGTCAAATTTGCAAGGGAAAAAAAACTGGCCTTCCGAGTTACTTAAAGTTTAACTTTTGTTGTATATACTATGTATATACATTATCTATACTATCATTAGCTATAACAGGCAAAAATGTTTCATTTTAGACAGATTCATGTCTAAATGTAAGCATTGTTCTGGTAAAGAATATTTAAAGTAGGTGTAATGTGCCAATAGCATCTCTGCAAACTCTGATTCACTCTAGACTGACTAGTACATACAGTGTAAAGGTGGGACTTAGCATTATAGGTAGATTTTCTACCAGGACTGGATAAGTAATGCAGGTGAAAAAGTCTACACTGATGGGCTGTTATATGGGAACTTCAATATCTACATATAACAGGGAAGAAAGAAAACATTTTTTTATAGTTAGTTGAATCTAAATGAGTACACAAATAATCTGCAGAAAATCAGGAAAATTATAGTCTAAGTATATCTAAAATTAGTTTTATTCACATATTGCACTTTCTTTTTTATGATTTTAGCATGAAGGCTGGAATGCTTGTGTTATCCCCTCATATGTTAGTTAGGCAAATTATTAACACATTCTTTATTGAAATATCAGCTGTTAGACTGATGGCATCCTATGGTACACAGTGCAATGAAAACATTACAGAAGAGTAGTTTTGCAAGTATTTGTGGGACTATGAAGAGCAGCTTGTATTTCACAGCCAAGATTTATCACAGCCAGGATCCAGGACAGGATTTTTTTCTCTTCAGACATGCCCCCCCCTTCCCCCTCCCGCTTGTCCCTTTTCCCTTTTTAAATCCTTGCTCTTTCTCACAGTTACTGTGTACTGTTGAATCCAATCCGCAGGCGAGGGGAATTTCGGTCCAGCTTTTTCAGGGAGCCGCGGATACACACAAAGTTGGCTGATGTGCCATTCAGCATCCCAGCAGCTCTCTCTCTTCACACTCGCAATGGCAAAGCTTTGTGCGGATGCACTGCTGGATGCTCTGAACTAAAACCGTCTGGGGGAACTTTGCAGGTTCTGGGCAGCCTTTTAAAGGTAAGGATGCGAAATTAGGCGTGCTGGAGAAGGAATCTGCCGGTGGAGAGCGTGGCGTGTTAGTGCTGTGCAGGCTGCATCTTAAGTCTCCTGCTCTGATGCAGGAGTCTGCGAGCTGTAGGTGGGAGGGGATGCTTTTGTACTTGAAATAAGAAGCCCCAGATTAAGTGTTATCGCCGTGACTACTTCGGAGCTTGTGACAAACGGTGCGGTGATCAAAGCTTTCTGGAAATACCTCTGTCAATTATTTATCCGCTCCCAAGTTAAACCTAACTGTATTAAAAACAGCAGTAGAGGCCAGTAGCCCAAAGCTGCAAGGTGCTTTGAACATCTCTTCTCTTGCTGCTTTTTGAAGTCCCCTTATTGCAGTCAGTTTGGTTGAATACTCTTGAGAGAGCATTTCACGCACACTTATCTCTACTGGAACCTTTTATTTTTCTATAATCCACCAAAGAACAGTATGTTTTAACAATAAAAGGCCATTTTTAATGTTCAGATCTCATACTGTCCTTAAATATCTTTTAAAAGACTACTTTTAGAGCCATATAGATGTCTGTGCATTTAGGTTATAATTGGCTTTCATTCAAATGTTGTAATAGCTAAGGATTTCACTAAAATGTATATTAAAATTTAATTTCACTTGTAAAGCAGTTGAGGCTCTCTGCTTAAAATAATCTGTATTAGTAAGGATGTTTTTACTTTTGGGTGGTCTGCTTCATCCCTTCATGTATCTGGCTGTTTCAGGTTAATGTTGTATCAAATGTCAGAATAACATGAGAAAATTTGAATATTGATGCTCATAGACTGTTTGGGTTTTACTACTTTGATGATAAAGTGGCTTTTGTTTTTCCAAGTTTTTTCAGTAATATTAATCTCAAAATAGAGCATGAAGTGCACAGTGTTTTTCAAGTTTATTCAGGAAGTGTTTTAACAAACAAACAGTGCCCCAGCTACTGTAGATTTCTCGTGGTATGTACATTAGACAAATGTTTGTGGCAGCATGCATTACTCCTTAGAAAGTTTCCACCTGACAATAACTCTGAAAGCCTTCTTTAGGAAAAAAGTACAGAATGCTTGTTTCCCCCAATCTTTAAACATTTCTTTTCAAATAAACCTTTTGTTTATTGAAATTTAGTGTGTAATTTTTGTCTTCTTAGAATTGCATGCATTACCTTAAGCTGTTGGGTTTTTTTCTGCTCTTTCTTGCAGAAGTATTTGACAGTTATTACCATGCATTTTCCAATCTGAGGTTAGAGTAAGTTAAATCCCAAGCTGATATCAGATGAATTTTTCATTTTAAATTAGGTGTTCCAGGTAATAATATGAAGCAGAAAGTATGATTTCTTGCATAACACTGTTAGCATAGTTCATAGAAAGTATGAAAAGAGATTATATATTTTAATAATTAAATGACTTATGGAATTGCAGATTGGTATTTTCAATGGTTTTTCATTACAGTTTCTGCCATTGAGGCAATGTGAGGGCTTTGAGAAAGATGGAGTGCTGTAATTACCAGGTGCACATGTTCATTAATCCTTCCTAGCTAGAAAAAGCTTCAAGTTCTCTTCCAGTGGCATATTCGTAAAGCTATAAATATCTGAATTGTGTCAGCCAAGAAGTCACACAGAATGGAGGCTCTTTTTGAGTTCAATTTCATGCACTGTTGCTTTGGTCTTGTGAGGGAGTGCTTTGCATTCTTCATGATGGATATTTGTCTTCTTCCTTATAAAAGTTTAGAAAACAAACAGTTAGGTCATAGATTATTTAGTCTCAAGTATGTGTGAATAAATTAAGACAAGTATTCCTGACCATAAAAATATGTAAAAATAGCTTTCTTAAGTGGAGACAAAACAGAGGAGTTTCTAAGACAATTTTAAATCTCAAACATAACATGTTAGTAAACAAATTAGGAAAGCTAGGAAAGCTAGAGTTTAGAGTTAGAAAAAAGGATGTTAGAGGAACATCTACAATACTCTGCATTGGTTTTTTTTTCCCCTTTATCTATATACTGGCAGGCTAAATATCATGGTGATAGAATACTGCAGTTTTATTCTCTGACTTCCTTTTAAATCCTCTGATATAATTGTTAGTCTTTAACTTTATATGAACAGAAAGATTAGTAAATCCATTTGTATCTCTGTCTATTTCCTTGTGGATGTCTATACATAAGCATTTAGGTATTGTATTTAATTACAGAGCATTAAAGGTAATTTTCATCAGATGTTATTTATAATAGATATTTGAAGCATGCAATGGCATCTTTAAAATGTCTATCTATAATTTCTCTATGAACATGCATATATGTGTGTGCACCTTTTGAAAATATTATTGTTAGCATTTACTGGAACTGCACTGAGGTGTTGATTTTACAGTCAACTCCCTGTCTCCAACCTGCCAGTTGACATATAGGACAGTTTCAGGACTACACATCAATTTGTTTGAAAAGCACTAAACTGTCTATTTCCTTCAGTCACAACTGTCAGTAATTTTAGACTCTCTTAGAAGTTCAGCATTAAGGTCTTTTTTGATTGCAAAATTATTCAGCCTTTTTTCTTCTTCTTCTTACAATGAGCTCAGAAAATGTCAAATAACAGGGATTGAGAAGAGGTCATACCTTGCTTGCACGTGAAAATGGTAGTTGTTATAAAAAATAAGCTTGAAAGAAGGTACAGATGTTGCCTGTAGATAGTGCACTTCATTCACATTACCAGCCTGCATGAACTGCTGAGATCCAGTGCTTCCCTCCTGTCCTACAAAAGTGGGTAAAGACCAAGTGTTTTGGTTTTTTATTTTCCAAGAAAAAAAAAAAAAGAAAATCAAACAACGCCAGTACTGTGTCTCTGCATTATTTAGAGTAGAATGCATCCAGAGGGTGAAATGGCAAGAGTCTGGGTGCCGTGCTTGGTGAGATGAGCCTCCCCTCCCCCGAGGGAGCTGTCCAGCACAGCCAGAGCCCACTGCTCTCACCCCCTCGGCTCACAGCTTTGGGCAGACATGAAATAAGATTACATCAGGATGTTCCCTTGCAGGGAACTGTGAGTTAGATAGGAAATACATTACCTGGTGTGGATCACAGGCAACTTCTGTAATGGTTTGTGGGATTTGGGGAATGGGTTCAGATCACCCTGTCAGACAGTGTCTCAGTGCAGCTTCTTGACAGGTAGCACTTGGGCACAGTAACAGTGACACGGTTTAGCCTGACATTCTTATGTTAAATAGCATAATTTTTGATAAAGATATTGTACTGGCTTTGTGTGGCAAGGTTTTGGTAGCACAGGGGTACAGGAGTGACTCTTGGGAGAAGCTGCCAGAAGCTTGCCCCGTGTCCAGCTGAGCCAATGCCAGCTGGTTCCAAGAGAGACTCACCACTGGCCAAGGCCAAGCCCATCAGGGACAGCGGTTGCACCTCTGGGATAATATCTTTAAGAAGTAGGGGGGAAAATTCTGTGCAGCAGCAGCTGGCAGAGAGAGGTGAGAATGTGAGAACATCTCTACAGACACCAAGGTCAGTGAAGAAGGAGGGGAGGAGGTGCTCCAGGCATCAGAGCAGAGGTTCCCCTGCAACCTGTGGTGGAGACCATGGTGAGCCAGCTGTGCCCCTGCTGCCCATGGTAATAAATCAAGCTAATTTTCCCAATGTTTTTTTGTATTGCCTATGATAATTAATTGGTGAGTGATCTCTCCATATCCTTATCTCAGCCCAAGACACATTTATCTCACCTTCCTGACTGAGGAGGTAAGAGATAGAGTGACTTTGGTGGGCACCTGGCATCCAGTCACAGGCAACCCACCAGAGCTATGTATTTATCAATATACTTTTGTTTCTTGCATAGTAACCCTTTTTTTTCATTGTTGTATTGATTATTCAAGAAATATGTCTTTTTCATATCAACAGTCTCTTTGTCTACCTCATTTGGTAGGGTTTTAAACTTATTTTTAGCTTAATAACTATTTGATTATTTCTCCCTGGTAACAACAACCTGAGGCAAGACTAAAATCACATTTAGGCATAACTTTTTCAGGTTCATCAGTTCTAATGATTTGCAGGGAAATTCCCCTTCCCTTCCCTTCCCTTCCCTTCCCTTCCCTTCCCTGTTGAATTCTGACTCGTGTCCAGCATCTCACCCACCCAAGACCTTCTTGGCTGGGGCTGCTCTCGATCTGGTCATCCCCCAGCCTGTGTTCTTACCAGGGCCTGCTGGTATCTTCATCTCATTCTTTTCTTGCTTGATGTTATCTCTATTTTCTTCTCTGCTTTTGGTTTTGGCCACTAGTGGTGACTGGCTAGGTGTCTTCTTAGTCTTGGTTCATCAGAAATCAGCTAAGACATTGCTGCTACATCCAGCATGCATTTAAGGACGATTAATGATGTTTGGCTGAAACTATATTCTGTCTTGGATACATTTTATTGATTTATTCAATAAAATGAATTTTATTTTATTTCTTTTTATTTTCTTCTCTTTACCCATTTAAAAAATTAGTTTGATAGAACAGGTGAGCACACAGTTTTGCATTTTTGCACTTAGGGACAGCATAACAAATGTAAAATTATCTGAAATTATTTATAGGTGAATAGAGTCTTCCTGACATTTTTTCATAGATTCTAATTTTCTATCCTCATCTTCCAAAATGCTGACTATTTACTCAAAGCTCCATGTCAGGACAGAATGAGAAATTATATTGTGCAGAAAGCAGTAAAACACCTTCACATTATGTTAAGTACACTGGTTAGCATGCTGGTGCAATTTCATTGATGGACATTGAGTATGGGGCGAATTTGATCAAGTTAGAGTGGTTTAATAAATGACCATGCCTTTTGCAAAGTAATGGTTTTTTTTAGTCTAACTTCAGTAATGCAAATTTTCATTGCCTCTAGCAAAAGAAGGAACTCAAACTCAGTCTCTTACTTTTTGGATGAATGTAACTTAATCTCTAGGCTATAACATAATAAGGGAGGGCCCTGTTTTTAAGAGAAAAATGGGAGCCATAATTGCTTTTTGCAAGAAACCCAATTCTATCAGTTTGTGTTAGGCATATTCTGAGAAAACTTATGGGTTAAGCCCCCATTTTTGGCACTTAGTGCAGCCTGCATTTTATATGGCAGTAGGAGGATGCATGTGCAGATTAGCCTGTCTGTACACCCAAATGGCCTTGAATACTTCTGGGTAAAATCTGAGATCTGGACTGTGGTTGTGCAGAGGCATGTGGTAGTCATCAGACTTTTCAGCTATGTTAAAGTGTTAGGATGCATTATTGTCAATAGATAACTCTTTTCAAATGCATTTTTTCCACATAAGGGTAGAAAGGAATATAGATAGTATGATTTTGGATGCCAGAAGAAGATTGTAATTGGTAATATCACATACATCTGCTTCTTTTCTCATAGATTTTTCTTCTGTTTTGAATAATTTACTAAAATTCTGCTATATATGTATGGCACCTTTTTTGTTGGATTTTTTTTTTTTTTTTTTAAGCTTTCGGTTTGATTTCATTATTCGTTTGCTTAGTGTTTCTTTGTCATCTTACCAACCTTCAAAGCTTTTTGTACAGCATTAACCACAAGAATTTTTCTTCCTTCTTGACAAAATCATTAAGCTAAGAGGCCAAGGCCTTTTGCTACCTGTGTTGTGATGAAAGTTGTGGTTATAATGTAGTAAATGTGGTAACCTTGGTCTGACTAATGGTAGCAAAGTAACCACCATATTTACACATCCCAGTGTGGACTCTAAAGCAATCAATATGTTTTTTTCAGTGGTTTGTACCAAGTGCTTTGTGCCAACAGCCTTGATGTTAGTGGGCAATATCTGGGCTCTGACTGTCTTTGTGGATGCCCATGATCAGCCTGATGCATCTTTACATCGTCCCACATCTGCACCTACCTCAATTTTACAGAAAAAAATGCTGTAATCAGCTCACTGACAGTCAGTGCTGTCAGGAAACCTCTGCTAAGTTTCTATTCCAAAGTCAGAATAGAACAAAAAGGGGAAAAAAACCTCTTTTTCTGCTCTCCTTTATTCACTTTCTAAAGTGAAAATATTGTGATCCTTTCCTCATCTTGGCTGTCCCTTCTCATCACTTGCCTTAGTTATAACATGGATACAGGTTGGAGGAACTGCCATCTCAAAGCCTCATGCCTTTCTGTCCATCACCTATTAGCTTTTTTGTTGCTTCTGGGAATGAAGATGAGCACAACATAAAAAATAAATAAAATCTGTAGAGGCTGAACCACTCATAAATATCATTAGAAATTCTTAAACATCTAATTTTGCACTTTCAATGTCCTTCACATTGCCTCCAGAAGTACAGATATTCTGTTTGGAGACCATATACTCTGGACTTTCTCTCCAGTGGCATAGCGAAGATAAAATCTGTGCCAGAAATTCCATATGCAAAATAATTTTAATTTTACCCTATTTCCTCCTTTTTACACTTTGTATTAAATGACAGCTCTTTTTTTTTTTTTTTAACAGAAAGCTTATACTCTTCATACCTTAGCAGCAAGAGGAACAGATTACAATTAAAAAAATTTCTCTGTAATATTAGTGGACTAGCCAAAATGAGTGATATGTTAATACCTACAACTTATTATATTTGTTTATATAAAATGATGCTTATTTAAGTACAAATTCTAGTTAATAAACACAATATTAGCAATATAATGAAAGCAGCAACGTGAGAAAAGACAGGAAACAGATGTGAGATCCACTGAGGGGTTTCTCTTGACCTGGAGCATTATTCTTGACAGAGTTACAGGACAGATGCAAAGCTGAAGTAGCAGGTACATTCTTTCCCTTGTGTTGTATCCTTTTACAATAAGTTATCTGGTAAATTGTAGTCTGCCCTTTTCTGTTTATTTTATGGAGATTAAGATGTGTTGGAGATTTTGTGAGGGAATTAAGAAATGTATAGGACTATAAATTTCACAAGAGTTAAGGAAATGTAAAGTCAATGAGATTTATCAGACATCCTTATGGCAAATGATATTTCTAGATAGAATTTTTATACGTTTAATTTACTTACAGCTTTGACATTAGTGAAACCTTGGCAATTTCTCCCTCTTCCACTTCTTCTATATGTTTATAAAGAATGCAGTCCTTATGGGTAACTAATCACTATATTTCTAAAATCTGTGAATATGTTGGGTTTTTTTTTTTAATTTAAGTAATTATAAATAAGAATACTTTATTCCACTTTTTTTTCTTATATATACTAAATGTTTTAAAATGTGAGAATCATGGAAAAATTGGTCATACAGACTCTTGACCATATTTTGAGATTACTTATTCCCCCTAGAAACTTACAGGAAAACAGCAGAGCCACTGAATGTCAGCAGTAGCATGCTCTGCTGAACTTAAAACACCTCTGCTTTCCAGTTTCATGAGAACCAGTGGGTTTGATGCCAAGGAAGTTTAACTGATACTAAATATAGCATCAGTTAGAGGGCATATCTAGTAACATTACAGTGAGCTTCAAATGTTACCGTCATTCATAAGATTTTCTAGTCTATTTTATGACTTGCACATTCTGGCAGAGTTGCTCTTATTATTCATGACAAGAAATCCTAACATCAGCGATTTCATGACAACGACCCAGTTTTAGTAAAAAGAGCATACTAGAATTTGTCTTAATGTCTGTACTGCCTAACCCCTTTATTATTGCAACACTTTATGCAGTGCTGCCTTAGGTTTTCCCTTGCCTCCTGCTCCCAGTGTCCTGTATTTCTTATAGGACATAAAGGCTTTAATAGTGGCTGAATGACAGAAGGGAAAGTTGATTCATCCCAACACACATTTTGTTTTAATGGTTTGACCAGTTTAGAAATGCAGTTGAATATGCTTCCACAGTATGCAATGGATGACCTACTGGCCATTTCACTTTCTCCTTTTGGAAAAATGATGTTGAGTATACTCTCCTGGTTCCTTGCTGTAATGTGGAAATAAGCTGCCACAGATGGCACACATGACACTGTAATAATCTTTTTAGAAACACAAAATGATATATTTCTTTAATATGAATTCATTTCTAGATGATAGTTTCTGATCTCTAAGCAGAAGAGTCTTTAATGAGGCTTTTCATTCCAGGCTTCAAATGAAACATATATACCAATCTTGTTCATATGCCTTATGAATGTGTAGTTTGTAAAAAAAAAAAAATTAAAAAAAGGTGTATATATATATATATATATATATATATCTTTCTTTCAAGGGTTTTTAAACATCTAATGATTTTATTTTGTCAGGAAAAATGCCTAAAATGCTAATCTCATGACTTGATTGATTAAGCAGTTACTTTGATTTTTGTGTCTTAAAAGCATCTTCAAAGTTAGGAAACTGTACTTAAGTGTTATGTGTTTTGTTTTGTTCCATTTGTTGTAAAAGGGGGAAAAATGAAGTCAGCAAAATGAAGTCTAGATTTTCTTCTCATATTTAGACCATAAAAGGAATCAAATCCCTTATTTCTCGATCTCATGTTCAGTGTAGTGTTTTTTCCACTGAATGTCACAATTACTTAAAGCTATTGATCTTGTCAGTGTACTCAACCAATGTTTGCAGAGATGTTTCACTTCAACAGCATTAAAAATTTTAGCTTCCTGATTTATTTTCTTACACGTAGCATGAAAATTAATAATTAAGGAACCCTAGACACAATAATTTTTATTTGATTGGAGTTTATAATGCTGCCTTAGTAAATCATGATTCTGTGATTTAAATGAAATGTGATTTTTCCCATGCAAGCATGCTAAATGTTCTTGTGACTTCAGTTGAACTTAAATATGTGTACGAACAGGAGGGACTGAGTGATGTGACTGAAGAAGCAAAGGGTACTACATCTTAAAAATATACATAATGAAAGAATCAGAGCACAGCCAAGTCAGCTTTAAGGAAGCCTGAGGATGGCAGAGTGGGACCAGAAGAAAATGCAAGATTTACTGTAGTGCATATGGAAAATCTGTGACAAGAACCTTAAAAGAGCTGTCTGAAACTCTAGGAGGCTGAGGTCAGAGTGGCATCACAGTGGAGAAAAAGATGTGGAGGGCTGCATAATGTTCTGCCCTCCAGGTAGTTGGCTGGTGATGAATCAAGGATTGATCTTCTGAGAGTGCTGACCCTGAGGATGACTTAGATGGAAGGGATCCCATATTTCATCTTGGAAAGACAGATTCTTAACACTGGAGCTAAACAGATATTCAATAGATCACCAGGGCAAAATATCCCTTTTCTGAGCTGTCTTGTGCCATCTTGGTCATTTCAAGAGAGGTAGCACTCCCCTCAGAGGAACTCCATAGCTGCTGATCATGTAGTGTGGAAAATACCAGGCAGACAGGATCAGCTTCCTTAGCCACTTGCCTTCAGGAGACCATTTGATTGTTTTTGGAGCTGTATGTGTAAATAACTGCTAAATAAAGCATGCTTAGTTTCATATTGACTTGGAGCACACTGATCTGCGAAACGGAACATTTGTATTTCATTTAAAATTGTTTACTACTTCTACACAAGAGAGCTATGTAGTCTGTGAAGGGATTGTTGATGAGGACATAGTGAGGCCTGTGTTACATTTTGAGAATATTGCTGAACTTTTTGACTGTAAACTCTACCCGTCAAGAATATAAACAGGATTGTGCTGCAGCTGCAGATTGCATCTGGCCTGCATAAGCATATTTAGACAAATTGTGCATGATTTGCATGTTTTTATTTGAAACCTCTATCACCCATTATACAGCATTTTCCTGCGATACTGGGCTGTAGCCAGGCAAAGAGAATGAGGAAGCTGTGGAGAGGCAATCAGATATTTAAAGGGCTGGGCCACAGGGATCCCCATCTAGATGATTTCAATAAGCTGTTTAAAATTTTGTAACTCTGGAAAATTTAGAAAGTGATTCGTAAGGGTTACACGTCTGTGTGCAAAGTGTGGAATGAAGACTATAATTGAATGAAGTGTGCATTATTTGTCCCTCAGAGATGCTTGCATGCCTGCTTTTTGCTTTCATTCTTCAAAAAAGAGAACTGAGGTGGAAAAATAAGAGGAAGGAAGTACAGCTTGGTGCAGTGAGAAGTAGGTTAGAGTCCTGAATTGTTAGTGTGGTGTAAGACAGGAAAGGATGGAAATTAGATGTCAATGAAATAAAGATTTTAGTTTGTGTTCAGTGGTGTAAAATGGGAGGTAGAAAGGAAAGAAATACATACTCCAAAACAAGAAGATGAAAACACTGTTTCTTGATGTCCACTGTCTCAGAGGGGGTGAAGGAAGGAGCCAATACAGTATATGAAGGGGAGGTAGGTATCTACCTTTGAAGGCTGGACAAAATTATCTTTGTGTATGGAGAAGGTGTTCCTGGAAAGAGGTAATATGAATTTGTATCTTGAGTCAAAGAGAGAAAGGAGAGATAGATGAGTGTTTTGGTAAAATGCTAAGCCAAGCAGTTGTTACTTCGCAACTGTTAACTCACAGGAGTGTTAGGGAAT